GAACCCAGCAGGTCTGCCATGTGGAAAGTTAGCTATCTTCATGACATAAGCTTTAACCACTTCTTCCTTCCTACACAACAATTGTCAGAAATGTCCCTGTATCTTGGGTTCCTCATTCACAGTTTCAACTAACTATTGAAAACATTAAATCAAAAAAGGGGCTGGGAAGATGGCTCAGAGGGTAAAAAGTTTGCTGTACAGGTTGAGGCCTGGAGTGTGGATCCCCAGCACATCAATGCTAGACCAGTGTGGTGGGCCAGCACATTAGAAATGGAGTCAGTGGATCTCCGGAGCAAGCTGGTTAGAGCAATCAAACCGGTGTGCTCTGGGTTCAAATGAAAGAGCCTGCTCCTATATCTAAGGTGGAGAGTAATCAAGGAAGATACCCAGTGTTCACCTTTGCTCCCCACATATTCATGTGCCCCTGCATATGTGTGCCCATTACACATGTCCACACGTGCACACTATATACAAACATATTCCTGAAAAAGCTGTACTGTACTGACCTGACCTGTATGCACAGATGTTTTCTTGTTATTGTTCCTTAAACAAGGAAGGCAGTGTGAAAATTCTTCCCACGGCACTTGTGCTGCATTAGGTTTTGTGAGTAATCCAGAGGTGACTTTAAGGTGTGGAAGGCACACAGGTGATAGGAAATTCAGCAATATTTTATATAAGGGATTTGTATATCCTTGCACTACAGTATCTAGAAAGGACCAATTACCCCAGAATACCAAAGGATGACAGTACTCTTTTGCATACTTTTTTTTTTTTTCCCGAGACAGGGTTTCTCCATAGCTTTTGGTTCCTGTCCTGGAACTAGCTCTTGTAGACCAGGCTGGCCACGAACTCACAGAGATCCCCCTGCCTCTGCTGGGATTAAAGGCGTGCGCCATCACCGCCCGGCTTTTGCATACTTCCTAAACCTGATGATTTCTCTTATTCTAAGATAAAGTGTATTTTTCTTTCCTTGATGTCTTACCAAGGAGTTAAGATGAACTTCTTAGAGTTCTGATGTCAGATGTGGGAAGTCCATGATAAGGCACTTCCACAATAATATACAGTACAAAAGGCTGAGTGAGACTGATGACAATTTTATGCTGAATCTATAATTTGCCAGTGCAGAACTTCAGGTAGTAGCTGACCAGCTATGGGGGACAAAAGCACACTGGGCTGGCCTCTCAGTTGATAACTACTGATAACACTACCCGTGAGACAGGAGTTCATATAAGATATGCATTTGGCCGGGCGGTGGTGGCGCACGCCTTTAATCCCAGCACTCGGGAGGCAGAGGCAGGCGGATCTCTGTGAGTTCGAGACCAGCCTGGTCTACAGAGCTAGTTCCAGGACAGGCTCCAAAGCCACAGAGAAACCCTGTCTCGAAAAACCAAAAAAAAGAAAAAAAAAAGATATGCATTTGGAGGAAATGAAGTGGCGCACGCCCTTCAGAATACACTCAGAATCCAAGAACCTGGTTAAAGACAACCACAACTTAGTTGAGGGCTTATGTTTTTGAAAGAAGGTTTTACTTTAGATGTTGTTAAGTCTGTTCCACAGGGTAGGCTGGCAGAGGCTCCTCCCTGCAAACCCTCTCTGATTCCTCACATTCCTGCAGAGTTAGCAGCTATGACAGGTTCTAGTAAACAAGAGGGACCAGCTACTTCTCAGCTCCACTATCAAGTCAGTGTACTTCCTCCTCGGCTCTTTCCTCCTGAAGGGATAAGAACAGCAGCGGCAGAGCAAAGCACCCAGGGCGGTGCCAGATCTCCAGTGTGCTCCATGGGAACAGGAAGCTGGTCAGCTCCCAAAGTTGCTGATGCCTGGGGTTTGTGGCTGAGAGGGAGCCCACCCTGACAACCTCCATTTGATTTGCTTAATCAAGGAGACAATGTTTTAGTTACTTTATTCACAAAAAGACATTTTCGCCTGGGCAGTAGTGACACACGCCTTTAACCCCAGCACTCAGGAGGCAGAGGCAAGAGAATCTCTGTGAGTTCAAAGTCAGCCAGGTCTACAGAATGAGTTCCAGAACAGGCTCCAAAGCTACACAGAGAAACCCTTTCTCAAAAACAAAACAAAACAAAACCCAAAAGCAACACTTTCTTCTTAAAACTGCTTTTTTAAAGAAAGTGTGTGTGTGTGTGTGCATGACTATACCGCACAGCCTATCCTCAAGCTTGCACATGCCCTGCCTCAGTTGGGATTGCATGAATGCACCATCGTCCCCTACTATAGAATCTTTTTAAGTATGTGCTATAATACTAGTAATAATAATAATAATAGTAGCATTTGCTTGTTGCTTCCTAAATTATAAAACACTTTCCATATAAACTATTGCATGGCATAATCTTATTTGTGACCTAAAGGCACAAACTGACACTGAATATGTTTTCATTACATTGTGACCAAATGAATTAAACTACAAATTGTGTTAGTTTGTTAAATGGTCTAGTATCTGATATGCATATTTATGAATAATGAGAACTGAAATGTTATGAGCATCTTAAATATTTGCTAAGTGATGCACATTTTCTTCCAAAAATCAGGATTGTAATAAATCATTGTAAAATTTTATATTCCACCTTTTTAACTGGGTTCAATTGACAGCCAGTCTCTTAACTAACACACACACACACACACACACCCGCTGCTGTGGCTCTGTTTTGTTAGTCTAGGCTGGCCTTGAAATGGTGATGCTAGTGCTTCAGCTTTCTCAATGACAGGTGCAGCCACTGTTTTGGCAGTCACATAGTTTGAAGGGTGAAAAGGAGACAGATGCGACGGTTTTACGCTGACATCACTTTTGGGTGGGGTGCACATGTGCCGTGGTTCAGGTGCAGAAGTCAAAGGACAACCAGTAGGAGTTGGTTCTCTCCTTCCACCATGTGAGTTCCAGGGATCAAACGCAGGCCATCAGGTGTGCTGTCAAGAGCCTTTACCTTCAGAGCCATCTTGCTGGTCTTAATTAACTACTTACAAATATTTCTTGCGGCTGGAAAGATGACTCAGTGATTAAAAGCACTGGCTGCTCTCCCAGACGCTTAATTCCCAGTACCCATAATCATCTGTAACTCTGGTTCTAGGGAATCCAAAGCCCTCTTCTGGCCTCGGTGGGCACCAGGTGCAAATGCGGTATACAATACACAGGCAAAACATCCATACACATAAAATAAAAATAATAAACTGACTCTGTTTGGAGACATGGTCTCATTGTGTATAGCCTTGGCTTGCCTAGAATTCTCTATGTGTTCTGGGATTAATAGTATGGGCCACTATGTCTGGCTAAAATTATCTCTTGGGACACCTGCTTTCCCTACTGGATACACAAGCCATACCTTGAGAGAATGCAGTACAGGACAGCCTAGTGCCCTCAGGTACAGTTCAGTGCCCTAAATGGTACAAGGGAAGGCTTCTAGCAAAAGGGCCAACCCCTTTCCTATTAAGTTCTGTCTGATCCCCTGGCCAACACCAATCCTACCAGCTAGACTTAAGCCATCGTTTCAGGATGCAGAGAAAATAGTGCTGAGAGTCTATTTCTTTTACATACTGATTATATATATCAGTCATATAACACAACAAATGAGACCACAGAGCAAGATAGAGAGACTTAAGAGAGGCAGGGCTTCAGTATACAATATGGTGGTGCAAATCAAGGGGTTCAAGTGCATACTCCACTAGCCTGCAGGCCAGTGCTATAACCGAAGGCCCAGGAGTCTTCCACAATAAGATGAGACACCTCACATTTAGACAGGAGATTGGCTGGGGTCCTTTGGGATGGGGTGACAACTGGTGGGGTGACCGTATGGAGGGACTGATTTGGGGAAAGCGACTCCATTTCCAGCTGAATGAGCATAGACTTCCCTAGACCTCAAGGTTTGGTAGTGAGGAGAATACACACTAAACCCTGGTTTTTCTCAGAGATAATAACAGCCTCTCTCCACGGTCTGGCAGAGACTACTGGAGAAAGGCTCAGGGCCAGTGAGTCTCTGGGCAGATGAAAGAACTCCCAGGCCGAGCAACAGGCTCAACTGGCACCCATATCCAGGCCATAACTAGCTGCAGTCTTGTCAGGCTGACAAGTGCCCTTGGAAAGATAGATGACCTGGAACACAGGTATGAAGCCCAAGGCATAAATGATCTCAATTCCTGTGAAGTTCCTAGTGGTGCCATGCAGTTTTCACAGCAGACTGGGTTATGTTCAGGGCCTTATCTAACAGTTTGCAGAAACCCCATTGCTAAGAGTCACTGGCCTGGCCCAGGCCCACTAGAAGGGTGGTGATGATATGTATAGGTTAATGTAGGAAGCAGCCCTTCCTACTCTTCCCCCACCCTCTCTCATATAGCTGAGTTATTTTACATTAAACACTTATTCAAGTCCACAAAATACTGGTTGCCAGTGTACAACAATGTCCAGTTCCTAGACAGTACTACTGAAGTTCAAGCTCACTCTGACCTTGAGAGCTGCCTGGTATAGTTTCAACCTCCAGTATCAGATGAACCACATTTGAGTTGCTGAGTCAACTGAGACTATACTATTGTATGCTCACTTTATCATCTCTTAGATTGAAGTGTCTCCACATGTCACCATAGGCTATGCCTACTGTAACTCTTGGGACAGGTCACAGAAAAGTGACTACTAACAGCACAGTACCCCCTTAACCACTGAAAGAGAAGCCGTACCACGCACCTTTGTGTGCAGCAGCCCACAGTGCGCTCTTTCAATCACAGGTCACAGACACCATTTCAAACTTAAAGATCAGAGAGAAAAGACTGTCATAATTTTCAGCAGATCTTAGTGGCACCTTCTGGACACCTTACAGCTCTTGTGGTTCTGAGCAGTACAAACCGCAAGGAGTCAGAGAGGTAAAGTTCCCCCCATCCCAAATTTAAGAAGCTCATTTAACCTGGCAAGTGGCCATTTGAGCTATAAACCCAGCAACTGACATACGTCACATGAACCCACTTTCCACCCGAGGGAAGCACTCACACACTAGCCGTACCTAGCTGGGTAAGGTCCAGTTTCGTCCAGTGCATGCCTGTGGGGCAGCTCTTAGAAAGCGTCCTGATGAACACCTGCCCAAGGTTGTCCAAGGCCCACAGAGCATCCTGGCATGCAGCGTAGGTCCTCATCTCGGCGTCAGGAGGCAACTGCACTGTGGAGGGGCGGCACTGCACACTCTGGGCACTGATGCTACACAGGTCCTTGCTGCTCTGGCATAGCCACAAGGAGCTTCCTACAGAAAAGGGTCACACTTGTCATCAAACGCTGCTTCACTGAGCCACCCGCCCACAGTGCACTGCACAGCCCTAGCCCTTCTCTTCAGGCAGAGCCCTGAAAACTGGCCACAGTCTCTGCCTGAACACTCACCATTACCTTACAGCTACAGTAGGTATGCCACATCTCTGCAGTAGAAGAAACACCACCATCAGGCATTTCAAAGATCAAGCCTGAGACATTTTAAAGAACTGGGAAGAAAGCAGGGCCTATGGAACATTATAAAGGCTAGCTGGCTGGGGTAGTGGCTTTGACCTCCATTTCTTATGGCCCAGGAACATGAATCAAGGCCTCAGAATGTATTTTTAATACAGAATATTAGAACTGTCAACCTTACCAAAACCCAGGAAGGAGAGGGGCCAGCAGTCCCTGGGAAGGCGCTTCCCTAGTTCCTCTGCTAATGGGGTTGGCAGTGGATGCTGAAGGCAGAAATCCTTCCCCTCCTGCCCTGGCCTCAAGAGTTATACATGTAGTCCTCTGTTGTTCTAGAACTTGCAGGTTTAGTAGTGTTTTCTTGAAATGCCCAGCATCCTTAGGGACTCAAATCCTGGCTACACTGCATAACGTTAAATATTATCTATAACTTGTGACCAGATGTTATGGAATTCTTATTTATTTATTTATTTATTTATTTATTTATTTTTAAGATATATTTCTTTTTATTTTATGTGCATGAATGTTTTCTCTGCATGTATATCTGCATCGTGTGCTTTCCCAGGACCCATGCCATGGAAGACAGAAGGTATCATATGTATCTCTTGGAACTTGAATTTGAGGCAGTGGTGAGCTGCCATGGGGGCACTGGGAATCAAACCTAGGACCTCTGAAAAAGAATCCAGTGCTCTTAACCATGGAGTCATCTCTCCAACCCTCTTTTTTTTTTTTTAATTTAAAAACTTTGGCTGGTTGGTGGCACACACCTTTAGCCCCAGCACTGAGGAGGCAGAGACAGAGGCAGGTGGATCTCTGAGTTCTGAGTTTGAGGTCTTCCTGGTCTACAAAGCAAGTTCCAGGACAGCCAAGGCTACAGAGAGAGACCCTGTCTTAAAAAACAACAAACAAAGAAAGATCTTGATAAACTAGTGAAAGAGTCAGCCAGCAAGTCAAGAGTTCCCCAGGGAAGTAGTACCTGTGCGCGCTTGTGCAAGCTAGAGCAGACCATCAGTGAAGGATGCAGGCCACCTCCCTCAGCTAGGGTCAAAGCAGCTGTGTCAGGCTCAGGAAACAATTTCCCGCCTTATGAGACTCCAGGTAGGATTGTGGTCAGTAGAGTCCAGGGGGCAGGTGTTTACTATATGAATCAAGTTATTCAGGGCTGGGGCAACTGATGGCTTCAATGACCAAACTGTTTCCTCTTCATCGTAGGTATCATGGAACTTTCTCATTTAGCCCTCCATATAACCCTTGAAACAGGCTTTGGCTCCTTCTCAAACAGGCCACCTGGCTGCCTAGGGCCTCTAGCTAATTGGGTGGCTCTGCAGTAGAAGCCCCAACTCTGCAGGGATAAGATAAGCCTGAGGTATGAGACCTTCACAGGGCAAAGAGGAGCCAGCAGCAAGAAGCACTAGAGAATGAAGCTACTTGGAAGTGACAGAATTCTCCAGAAGAAATGGGAAAGAATCTCAGGAAATTATGGCCATGCAAACTGACACTGAGAGTCATCTGCTGCTGGCTCCTAGGACCACACTGCACGGTGACCTCCTTCCAAAGGATACCATCTCAGATTCAGTTTTGCCACTCTTGCTCCCCCTCAGTGGCTCTCCTGAACACACCAATCCAGCTAAAAGCCTTCAGCTTAGCTCACAGGACTGCTGGCTCAGAACACAGCTATATCCATCCCCTGTCTCACGGTCTGAGGCCACATCTCCACAGCCACAGGGTCAGAGTCAGATGCCGGTCTGAAGTTCTCAGCTGCTGACTAACTTGTGTGCCAGGTTTCTCAGCCAGGCTAAGACTGACTCACCATCCTGGGTAGGAGCAGGAGAAGCCAACACAAAGGCCCATTTTGTGGCCGAAGCTGTTCCCCGGGGAACAACGTTATTCCAGTAAGTTCCTAGAGAGAATAAATATAAAAGTGGGTTAAAGTAAGGAAAAAAAAAAAAAACCTCTAACACTTCAGTTTTGGTTCTACACTCCAGCTGGCCTTCAGAGCTCTCACAATGATTTCTAGTGTCCTTAAACAAAGCGGCATGAGCTGCTCATTCCTCTAAGCATCATCAAGACGAAGCCCGCGGGGGCTACACAGCGGACAGAGCAGGAGGAAATCCATCAAGAGGGAATCATTCAGAAATGAACCCCCAGCTTATCCACAGACATGGCCAGCATCTGTGTGTTCAACAGTGGCCATAATTTCTCCACTGCAAATGGACTATTCTCTCTCAATAGGTTTGGTGGACTTTTAAAAAATAGTTACTTATTATATATGTATCTATGTAAGTATACACGCATGTGTTATCGTGGCGGTATTGCCTAAGCATGTTCATGAAGTCCTGAAGAGGGCACTGGGTGTTCTCATCTATCATCCACATATTTGACACAAGGTCTCTCCTGATCCTCGGGATCAAGTTTTCTCTGTCAGCTTAGAAGTCAGTAAGTCCCAAAGATTCTCCTGCCTCTCTGCACCTTGCTGCTGGACTACAGGCATGTGTGGGACGTTTGGCTTGTTGTGTGGGTGCTGGGATCTGAACTCCTGCCCCCATATTCTTAACTGTTAAGCCATCGCCACCCAACCACATGCTCCCTTTTGAAAAGATTCCACGCAGGTATCTACAAGTGTGGCAGGTGTGTGTGTGGCGACCAGAGAACAACTTTCCAGAAGTTGGTTTTTTCTTTTCTCCTTGTTTTGGGGACAGGGTCTCTCTTATTTCTACCATTGGGCTGTGTATGTAAACTCCTGGTCACTTCTGTCCCTGCCTGCCCCTATTTCCTCACAGGACTGCCGACATGAGCCTTCATTGTATCTGGCTTTTTTGGTTGTTGTTCTTTGTTTTCTTTTTCTTCTTTTTTGTTTTTGTGTGTGTGTGGTTTTTTGTTGTTGTTGTTGTTTTTGTTTTTTTTTTTAATTTTTTTTAGTTTTTCGAGACTGGGTTTCTCTGTAGCTTTGGAGCCTGTCCTGGCACTAGCTCTTGTAGACCAGACTGGCCTCGAACTCACAGAGATCCACCTGCCTCTGCCTCTCGAGTGCTGGGATTAAAGGCATGCGCCACCACTGCCCGGCTGGTTTTGGTTTTTTGAGACAGAATTTCCTTTACATACCCCTGGCTGTCCTAGAACTCACTAAGTAGACCAGGTCTGCACACAGGTCTACAGGTGTGTGTGGCATGTCTTTACCTGCAGAGCTGTCTCACTGCCTACCCTGCATGGATTCTGAAATTCTAAAACTGAGCTGCAGCCAGGTGATGGTATGTGCCTGCAATCCTGGCACTTGGGAGGTACAGACAGAGGATTAGGAGTTCAAGACCAGTCTGGCAGCTTGGGCTCTGACTCAAACAAAATGATCACAAATATTAGCTTTATTTGCCTGCACGTATGTCTGTGTACCACTTGTGTGCCTGGTCTCCACACCAGAGGTCACTTGGATCCCCTTGAATCAGAGTTACAGACATTTGTTAGCTGCCATGCAGTGCAGGGAACAGAGGCACTGCTCTTAACCACAGAGCTAGCTCTCTAACCCTCCACTGAGAGCTGGGAGTGGTGGTGCACACCTTTAATCTAGAGAGTGAGGTCCAGGAAAGTCAGAGCAACACAGAGAAACCCCATCTTGATGAAAAATAAATAAATAAATAAAGTAGAAATAATGTGAAAACAAGAGTAATGGACTCACCTATGAGACTTCCTTTAGCAACATGGAATTCATTCTTGCCTGAGGAGATCCAGACACCACTGTTGTTAACCCCTAGTAGGCTGGGCTGGCACTGAAGCTGCTGAGACCAAAATGCCATGCGCAACTTATCTGCTACCTTTTCCACAGGGGCTTGAGCTGCTGACGCTACTGAGTGTGTGGCATGCATGATGGTCTGGAACAAGCTGCACTGGTCAAACACCACATAGTCCGTGATGCTCACCTGCAGGAAGGATACCAGCTGAGCCCTCTGTCAGTGCAGGCCCTGAAGACCACCTGCCTGCAGAGGCAACTTTTCAACACCCAAATCCAAGTACCCAGTAGCAAGGCCACCAAGTGACCAAGTTCCTGCACACACCTCTCTGCACAAGGACTGGAGTTACTAAGCAGTTGTCATTAAATCCACAGGCTGGGCTGAAGGGCAAGGAAGAAAGGGCTGCTGTTGTCACCTTATCCTACTTTTTCATCACATGGGTCTGTTTATGTATTATTTTTTTGATTAAAATAGCACCTGCCTCACCTAAGAAACCTTTTACTCTAGTCAGAGTGATAAAGAATAATTTCCTTTTAAAATTCAGGTGCTGCCAATAGACAATAATGTATAACAGTTAGAATCATAATATGAGCATTAAAAAAGGTTATCAGTTGGGTGATGCAATGACTTAAGCTATAATTGTGAATATTACCAATTACATCAGCTTAAGCAAGATAATCCCAAGATTCTGGAATCCATCTGGCTCTGATGTGTAACCCTTGACAACATTCCTGAAAAGTCTCTGTACAGACAGCTCTAGAGACACTTTGGGACAACTATCTCCCTGAAGGAAACTTCTCCCTTACTGGCAGCCAATTGTGACAGAGTTCTTTTTAAAATTTTTAAAAATTATTATTTATATTTTATGTGTCCAAGTGTTTTGCCTGCATGTGTGTGTCTGTGTGTGTGTGTGTGTGTGTGTGTGTGTATACCAGTGTGGTACTTACAGAGGCCAGAAGAGGGCACAGGAATCTCTGAAGCTGGAGTTACAGGGGTTGTGAGCCACCATGTGGGTGGGGTGCTGGGAACTGAGCATAGGTCCTCTGCATGAGAAGCCAGTGCTCTTAACCTCTGAACCTTCTCTCCAGCCCTGTGTCAGAGCTCTTTATGAAGCAGGTACAAGCTTGGCTCAGCATAACTTTATGCAGTAATTTAAGATTACATCCCATTTATTTCTATTTATGTATGTATTATGTATGTGTGTGGGTATGCATGCTACAGCACACATGCAGAAGGACAACTGTCAGGAGTCACTTCTCTCCCACCTTGTGGGCCCTAGGGAATGAACTCAGGTCATCAGGCTTAGCAGACACTTCAATATGCTGAGCAATCTTCCATCTTCTCTCTAGTACTTTTGCCTGTTGGATTTATTTATCATAGACATTGGCATAAACGCCAAATATTCCTAGGACACATGCCCAGTTCATACAATGAAATACTAAGTGAAAGTATTACAGGGCTCTTAAATTTATAAAAAACAAAATAAACACGAAATAAATCATTAGAAGTTAGTATATCACGCCTAAATGCCGCCCTTCTGTCTGTGAAGGAACAGGATAGTTGTGAATGCTCTCCTCACTGAAGCTGGAATAGATAGCCCCATTGCAGAGCCTGTGGCCATATTTAGCATTCTGAGTTCTGTCCAGCCTGGTTTTGTGACTCCCTGAGTGCTGAAGAATGAGCTCCACTTAGAGACTCAGGTGCATATGCTATGCAACCCAGGGCCAATGCCCACGGGAGATCTGGCAGTGACCATACCAAAGTCACTCACCAAGCCTGTGACACCCCAGACAGATAGACATTGTAAGCAGGTCTTCGACTGAAAGAGAAAGAAAACACCTAGCAGACAAACATAAGAGCCAAAGAAGCAAGGAACTACTTTACTCTGCTTCTATGCCTCATGACAGTTCTGTCCAGCTAAAGTTCATGTGTTATGAAAAAATGATAGAGTTTTCTTTGTGCTACTTAGGGATAGGGGGATGTAGCACAATGGTAGAACATGGCCCAGGCTTAAACATAGCACCTCAACATGCAAAACCAACAGATTAAAGGTTTAGTGGTAAAGTGCTGAGCACACCAGTGTCAGGACTGGAGTCTGGATCCCCAACATTCATGTAAAATACTGGCAGGCAAAGAGACCTGCTTGTAATCTCAGTACTTGAAAAGTAGAGACCAGATTCTTGGTTCACGCTGGATAGCTAGACTAGCCACATCTGTAAGCAAGCTTCGGGTTCAGCAAGAGACCCTACCTCAGTAGATAAAGTGGAAAGCAATCAAGTAGGAGCCTCAACATCAACTCTGGCTGCTAGACACATGCACATATACACCTATGCCCCCACATATGCATACATATGTATGCACATTATACATAGACACATGAAAAATTCTCTCTGGAATTTAGCACAGATATATATCTGCTGTATACATGTGAGTGTTCACATATGGCTATAAGTATATGGTTAAATTATATATAACCTCAAATATCACCTAGAATATCTAATTATAGACATAGAGGTAAGGCATCACACTGTACATCTGTCAGATCAACCTTAGGTCCAATGTGGGGGGTAAGGAGCTTAACCCTGAATGGTACCATGGTACCAAGAGGGAAAAGTAGATGTTCCTTGCAAAATCCACCCAAAGTTGGGCTGGAACCATGGGAAGTTGGCTTTATTCCACCCCTTACTTCTCACAGTATTCTCCTCTGTGGGAGCATGTGGGAAAATGCTCAGTTCTTTGTTCTTTGTTGAAATATCATTTACTTAAAGGCTTTTCAAGCAAGTAGAGATAGATGAGTTTTAATTGTGGGTTGGGTTTCAAACCTATTGTTTAGTCTCTTTTCTTAGCACCATTTGTTCAGAATTAAACATCATTATTACCCAGGTCTTTCTTTAAATGGATGTCACTGGGTTTATTTAGCCTATAATGATGAATGCCTAAATAACATTTAAATAAATAAATAAATTCCAGCCTGTATCAAAGCAAAGAAAACTTTACAAGCTATTTCCTATGAGGGAAAGGTTTGTGTGTGTGTGTGTGTGTGTGTGTGTGTGTTTAGTATACTCAGCCACAGGAAAGTCTAGCCACCCAATGTTAGAAGCAGTACTACTAATTTAATCCAGTTTTTTAAGGAAAAAGAGAAGGCAGAAACCATGGGTCTCTAAGCCAGAAAGTACCATCACCTACCTGCCACCAATGGTCATCATCCCCTTGAGGCTTCTTGGGAATCACGCCAGTTCTGAACCACAGCTTTCCATGAATGTCCAATGCCCAGAGAGTATGCTGATCCCCGAGAGTTATGCAGACAGGCTCCAGAGTTTGCCTTTCACTGGGAGTGAGAGAAAACAGCATCAGCTTCCACCCAGGAGGCACAATATACAGAAGGCTACCTCACTGAGTGTCTCTGTTCAGGCTTGGCATTGAGAAGAAATGGATTCTGCTCAGAAGAGTGAATTATTGAGTGACAAGGAAGAAACTGAGAGTCTAAGTTACACTGCTGGGTAATACATGCTGTCCATACATGTGGCTGTTTTGGAAAGGCACACTAAAAGCCCAGATGGTGGGGAAAGCTCATAGAAAAAAAAAAAAAAAACTACCAGTCACAAATGAGCAGGCACCTAGGTCAAGAGCACCTCTACATCCCCTGTTCCTCTTCCCCTGCATGCTGTGATGTATAGCTATCTCTGGGCAGGCCTATCTTTTCTGATGAGTCTATCTGGTGTGGGAAGTCCTTCTGTATATGTGTTGCTTTTATTGGTTAATGAATAAAGAAGCTGGCTTGGCCTGTGAGAAGGCAGAATAGAGCTGGGTGGGGGGGAGGGGGACACAACTAAACTAAATGCTAAGAGAAGGAAGGCAGAGTTGCAAGATGCCATGTAGCTGCCAGAGGGGAAAGACGTGAGTTGCTAGTTGGAACCTTGCCGGTAGGCCACAAACCTAATATAAAAAATATAACAATAATATAAAGTATATTAAATATGAATTTTAAATATATTTAACATTTTATATTAATATATAAAATATAAAATAATAAAAATGGGTTAATTCTAGATGTAAGCACTATGCTTAAGCTATTAGCCAAACAGTACTGCAAATAATATAGTTTCTGTGTGATTATTTCGGGAGTCTGGGTGGCCAGGAAATGAACAAGCGATCTCCCTACATCTACCTTTACTTCTTCCACCTGGGGACATCCTTGGCAGCTTTAAGGCTCAGTTGAGGCTAGCCTTGGCATGCTGCCTACCCAAGCACTGCTGGCAGGCAACAGTGCTTGTGCCCCGCTGCTAAGTGCCCTCCTTCTTTCTCAGTATCCTCACACCAACTGGCACCCAACTGGCTGCTGCATGCCTCCCACTAAGCTGGAAGGGTTGCATCTTCACCATATTGGAACACTCAGGTCCCAGAGTCCTGTTGTTCCCAGCAAGGGTTCTGTGAAGATTTACTGCCTAGCTGAACCTAACCAACACCATCCTGATCTGGTATACATAAGGGACAATTTTGGTTTTGTTTGTTTTTTGTTTTATTGTTTTTCTAGACAGGGTTTCTCTGTGTTGCCCTGGTTGTTCTGGAACTCACTCTGTAGACCAGGCTGGCCTTGAACTCAGAGATCTGCCTGCCTCTGCCTCCCAAGGCCTGAGATTAAAGGTATGCCCCCCCCCCCCCCCCCCCCCCCCGCTGCCCAGAACAAATAATTTCAACTGACTAGGATAAAAATGCAAATGAGCATTTGTAGCTACACCATCACAGACTCTCAACAGAAGCATGTGACAGCAGGTAGCTCTGAATGGACATCATGAGAACTGTGACTCTAATGTTCAGGGATACACTTATTTTTTCTTCTCTCTCTCTCTCTGAGATGTGTATCCAAAGCACTCTGGTTTTCTTGCCTGTATCTCCTAAGAGATGAGACTATAGACATGTGCCATTTAGCCCAATTTATGTAGCACTGAGGACAGAACTCAGGGCCTTGGGCATGCTAGGCAAATACTCTACCAATTGAGCTCTACCACATGTTGCAATGTGATGCCAGCAAGGAGCATGGAGTATTCCCAAGGCCAACCTGTCAAGGCTGACATCACCATGGAACCTGTAGGTGTTGGCTTTGCCAGACACGGCTCACTTAGGTGCCTGGTCAGAGATAAATGTGACAGTGCTGGGTCCCATACCTGACAATATCACACTTCCACTGTTCCCCTTCAGGACAGAAGCTACTCACGCCCTCCCGGTACAGGAGGGCCCTCTGCTCCGTCAGTGCCCATACCACATTGTTCCGGGCAGTGATCTGGGACAGCGGGTAGGGGCAGTCAACCCTCACAGCTCGGGCACAGGGCCGATCCACACTGAGACCTGTAGCGAAAGGAGAAGACTTAGACTCATCAGCAGCATGTCATACCCTATGCTGATCTGCGATTTTCTTTTTTTGGGGGTATTTTTGCTATCTATGGGTTTCCATAATAGACACTGTTTCTTTCTATCTATCTATCTATCTATCTATCTATCTATCTATCTATCTATCTATCTATCTATCTATTTTGGTTTTTCAAGACAAGGTTTCGCTGTAGTTTTAGAGCCTGTCCTGGAACTAGCTCTTGTAGATCAGGCTGGCCTCGAACTCACAGAGATCCACCTGCCTCTGCTTCCTGAGTGCTGGGATTAAAGGCATGCGCCACCACTGCCTGGCTCCATTTTGAGATTTTTATCAACAACAACAACAAAAGTAAATTATGCTTCAAGTTCACATCTGTCTGAGGCAAATTGGGTATCATTTGGAGAGTAAAGAAATACAATTCAGAATTTTCTGGTGTTCCAAAGTAGCTTAAGAAGTTCTCAAGACAGGGCAGCCCAGGGAAGGAAAGCAGCAGCCTAGCAGAAGAGCATGGAGGGCTTCCCTTCTGCCAGCAAGGCTGTGCTCCTCAGGGCCTCGGGCGACAAGGGGTCTATCTGCAGCTGCAGACCCAGCAGCTCAGGCAGCTCTGCTCCCATTCTCTGCTTACAGTATGGGGCTACCCAGCTAAAGTGCAAATCCCCACTCCCCAGGTAAAACCTGAGATCTGTCATACTGCAATGCTTGTGACAGTCAGGGCTCTAAATACTTCCCTCACATCTCTGAGGCCTTTCAGTAATGTGTGTCATGCACCTACATGAGGTCAAAGGCAACTACTGAGGGAGCATGCAGAACAGCTAACATCTAAACCTCATGTTCCACAGCCTTGGCTTACAAGCAGGCCGAAGCAGTACAAGCACAAAGGCACCTATAGCATATGCAGCTGCAGGGATTTGCCTGCAGGACTTCCTTCTGCAAACCCTCGCCAAGCCCACACTAATCTAGCAGGTCTGGGGAGGGTCAGGGTAATCTGAAATTGCTCTGGTGCCTGCTCTGGCATAATGGTTAGGAGGCCACCTGCTCTTTACCTATAGACTCTAGGTATCACTTTTTCTGCCAGGACCAAAATTGAATGCCCTGGAAGCTGGATGTGCAAGTGTTTCTCAGAGCAGCCCATTTCCACTCAAAGATACAAGAACTAACTAAACTCAAGGCTCCAGCCCCACACATCCATGAAGCTGGTAGAGCTGCTCACCAGTGTGAGGCTCCTACACACCTGGACAGCCAGATGAGAAATGAGCTTTCAATGAGGAGCTTTCCTGACTGATGATTCATTCCAAAGATGAAACCAAGCTCCCAGAATCAGGATTATTAAATGGCTACACCATTCTTCGTGGAAATCCAATATGGCCTCTTGACAGCCCAAACACAACCCCTGCCCGCTGCTGGACATTTCCCTTGTGCTGACAGTACACAAACACTGACTCATTACAGTTTATTTTTAATAAACAAGTCCCACTGTGCCTGTTCTAGCAGCTAAAGGTTTCCCTAAGGGCAGTTTCCTAGGACGAGTCAATCTGCTATTTACAGCGAATTACTTCTTGTTGTCTTTCCCCTGAATTCACATGTAAACACAAGTACAGGTTCTGGGTTTGACCAGCTGGGGAAAGGGAGGGGATGTCGAGTCCTGCCTATCACTCATTCCTCTTAGGAATGGATACTGCAGGGTATGCAAAGGCAGCGGTAGGTAGCTGCAGGAGCACAGGGCGCTGCTCCTGCAAGACACTCTGCACTGCACTCAATCATCTGTTCACTCCTGTACAGGCCCAGTCCGTGGGGTGGGGTGGGAGAACTGCCCTTCCATGGCAAACACTGGGCTTCTAGAAATGTTTTTACTTAACTAGGTTTTTCGGTCTCTGTATCCCGTGACTGCAGTCAGAATGTGACTAGCAGCAGACTCAGCAAATGACAAGGACAATGTACCTGTCTGAAGGTACAGATCTCCATTGGTCCTGATGATCCAGGCTGTGTCATCACTCAGGGCCACAAACACAGCCTGGGGCAGAGCCTCGTACCAGTGCCGCTTTCCCTTGATGGTCACTTTGCCACACGCAAAAGCACGGTTAGATTTCTGCTCAATCTTCCAGAGAAGGGCCCCTAGGAGAAAAAAGATTCTACTCACTGCTCAACAAACATGAGATCACCTACACAAAAACTCCATTCTGGGCACTGCAAGGGACAGCTTCCAACTCAGAGTAGAGCTTACCATGCCAGAGTCTGAAACCATCAGCTGTCTGTTGTTGGACATCATTGTGAATGTATCCAATCCTCATTTTCCTCAATAGAAAAATGGAGTCATTTCTACCTTCTGGGACTAACCTAAAGTTAGATGTGAGAAGAAATCCAGCACAGAGCACAGAGACGGCCACTCATGACGGGGAGAAAAGTGACAGTACTGTAGGTTTGACCAGTTAAATGAGGCACAATTAGTGCCCAAATACTAACCCTGGGGACTCACAGGGTAGGGCCTCTTCTGGACCACTTACAGGAAAGTATGGGTGGGCATGCTGTCATGAAAAGAATTCAGAGGAACAGAAAGAGGAGGCAAGGGAAGGGGAAAGGGCAGGTCAATGGCTCTTAGAAGGAGGCTATGACATTGGGGGAGGTGAAGAATCACTAAGGAATGAATATGAACTGAGCTAACCAAGAAGGTCTACAGACTGCTCATGTATATAGCTTCCTCCCCTACCCCCTACTCTGCAACACCACATAGCACAGACCCGGAGGTATCCAAAGATGTGAGCCTGGAAGGCAGCCATTTAAAAAAAAAAAAAACAACAACAAACAACAACAACAACAACAAAAAAAAACCAGACTTCACAGAGACAGATAGCTTCAACCAGAGCAACTAAGGAATGGTTGGAAAGTAAAAAACAATACAATCAGCAGAGAACCAATGTTTCTAAATAGCCAAGAGAATGCTTCCAAAAGTATGTGACCGAAACAGGAGAAAAAGTAAGACATACAATTACACAACGCCCCTAATGGCGTTCTCAGCCGGGAAAATGACTTTCAAGCAAGCAGAGAAAGAGCAAATGAGCCTGAATAAGCTGACATTTTAACAAGAACTTTCTTCTGCTGCTTCTCTGCCGTGATTCCACTGCTTCAGAAGAGGTAAACATATATCCAGCATTAGGAAAAAGCGAATGAAGTGTAGTGGGGGTTCTGCCTGTAACCCCAGGCTGAGGCAGGATTGACTCCAGCCTGTGACAGATAGCAAGGTCAAGTCTAAACACAAAACAAACAAACACCCAACTAACAAACAAGTAAATAAGTCTAGGTAGATAAGAGAATTATCTCAGCCTAGCAGCTCTGGCTGTCCTGGAACTTACTTAGTAGCCTAGGCTGGCCTTGAATTCGCGGCCAGCCTCAGGAGTTCTGGGATTAAAGGCCTGCATCAGCACCGCCTGGCCAAAGAGCTGTACTCTAAAAGTCTCCTTGGGTTCACTAAAATGCCAAAGGATGGCATGAAAACCTGAGGACTTTCCCTACTGCAGTCAGGGAAAAACTTCTGAAAAAGAAATCGAATGACTGGAACACATCCAACACACATCCACAGGCCTGTCTTCACTAGTTCAGCTGCTTTATAGCAACACTGACAAACAGAAATACATGTTATTTTTATGAGGATTTAGTGTGCCAACATAACTAAAAAAAAACTCAATATTCAAATTATCTGTAGAGCTTACAAAAATATGTTCATGTGTTATCACTGCAATTAATGAAATAAGAAAACCAAAAATTCAAGCAAGTATGCTGAATACCCATTACTCTAGGTCAGTGTCAAAGGAAGCATTCATGATCTTTGCAGAACCCGCCTAAGCTGGCACGAAGGGCCATCTGATGACAGCATGCTTTTGCCAGAGGAGAGCTGCCTGAGAGCTGGGAGCCCGGTTGGGGGTTGGGAAATGGGAGCTGGGAGACGAACCTGAGGGAGAGACTGCCACCTGCTGGACAGCATCTTCAAACCTCTGCCAGCGCAGCCCTGCACCAGGAAGGGCACTGCAGAATAGGCCACCTTTGTAGTCCAGACACCAGATAAACTTTTCCGAGACCGCCAAGCTGAGGATGCCATAGCCAGGACCCGAGTAGCCCATCCAGCTCTCTGCAAACTAACAAGGACAAAGGCCAGTGAGTTCTGTGACAAGAGACACAGTGTCATCATACTATTACCAACAAGAGATGTGGGCAGACTGTTAAAGCACTCCTTGGATCCAACCTCAGAAAACATTCTTGAATCAGATGCTGTGGTTCTCATGGAAGACCCCATAACATCCCTGGATAACACTTTCTCATGGCACAGCACCCTTCCTAAGTAATGCTTGAAGGTGTATCCAACCACTTCACAGAACTAGTAAGTCCACACTCAGAAACCATACAACTGAATTACCCAGTCCTACCAAAAAAATCAAAAAACAAAACAAAACAAAAACAGAAACAAAAAAAAAAGCATAAGTAAGTTTATGATTGTACTTTGGGCTATGCTTATAGCTCTCCAGGCACACATGCTCCACACAGGCTACAGGCTGCACCTGCTGGTAGAGCATGACATCACACCATAAGAGACCTGGCTTTATTCTACGCATACCTTACTTTACACAAGGGGGCATGTTCATCAACACACACATGAAAATCAACTTTCTGAGTACTTAATTATGACAGATGTACTATGGGAACAACACTACCACTGTCCTCATTAGTTTTTCAAACGTTGTTCTAACCTTTGGACACCTGGCGTGTTGTATGGGACCAGCTGGGGGAAATGTGGAAGAGACACTGTCTGAATTTTGTACACTAAGGTTTTGTTGCTATATTTTTCTCATTTTTATTACAATAATTTAATGTAATTATGTATGTGCACACATGAGTGTAATATAGCGTACGTGTGGTGATCAGAAGACAACTTGTGAGCTGGTCCTCTCCTTCCATCACAGGGGACCTAGACATGGAACTCAGGTTAGCAGGCATTATTTCCCATGACCTGTCATGCTGGCCCCATGTTGCCAGGGATCTGTTCAAAAGTCAAAGCTATTCTATGTAGTTGCACAAATACCTGATGCAGAAGCTAGGGTATGAAAGAGAATGGTATCCACCTCTTCTCTACAACAGCAAATTTTCTTCTAGCCCTTGTTCTCCCAAACAAAACAAGCAACATTTCTAACCTTTTCTGCTATTTAGAGCAAGAACAGGTGTGGCAAAACTTAGAAGATAACTTCAGAGGTCCAGGATCATTCTCCACAGGTGAGGGCTTTCCTAAGCTTCCAAGTAGTCCTAACATATACCACAGTTATGATCTGCCAGCTAATACTCTATATCAGGTGACCTCCTGCTGGGGCTTCCCACAGCTCACACTCGGTTCAAGTCCCATTCACCTGGTCCTCTAAACATGTGCCCGGCTAGCTGTCACTTGCACTGAGCTCCCCAGCATGAACACATGCACTGCCATTTAGGGCACTTAGGGAGCGATGCACTGAGAGATGAATGCAGGATGCTGAACAAGCAGTCCAACTTCTGGCCCATTCACTTTTGAGACAACACAAGAATGGGAGAGAATCCTGGGCCACTCCGAATGTCACCTGTAATGTGACCTAGTGCATACATCACTTTACTTTTCTTAGCTTCAATTTCCTTCTCCATACAATGGGGACAACTGCACCTGTGTTCCAGTTTGTTTTGCTCTTAAAGGAGTGACTTAGTGCTCAGCACAGACCTGTATGTGGTGAGAACTGATACACATCACATGCTCTTAGCTCTGAAGGCAGGGAATGTGGGGATGCAGTGTAAGCAGTTAGTTCTGAAGACAAATACATTTGCTAAGATTTACATGATAAAGAAAATAAGTACTTGAAATCATTTTTAGGGCTGGGCATGGTGGTGCAAGACTTTAACCCAAGCACTTGGGAGGCAAAGGCAGGTGGATCTCTGAGTTCAAGGCCAACCTGGTCTATATAGTGAGTTCTAGGACAGCCAGGGCTATGTAGTGAGACCCTGTTTTTGTTTTTTTAAAAAAAATAATTTTTAATATAAAAGTCCTAAGAACAATAAATTACACTGGCTGAGAAGCCCCATAGCAGATTAGGGGTTTCATTCTGCAGGGTGTCCTGGGGGCACTGTGCAGATGCTGAGGAAACAGCATTTCTGGGAAGGGCCCCAATTCATACTGATGTTGCAAAGAGTCAATGGACTGTGGAGAAGGGCAGGAACTACCCACCTTATATGTGCCCAGAGCAAACAGTCCTCTGCCTAGTGGTATTCTAATGGCTCAGGCTACCTTAACTGCCCAAAATGGTCTGACCTTGCAAGACACCACTTTTGTCAGTAAGAGGTCAACTGGGCAGGGTCAGAATTACTACAGTTCCCATTATTCAGGGCCCCTGCAAAGGAAATTGCCCCAAACACAGACTTCAGAGCTGCAGGTTTTGCAAGAATATGACTTCCATAAGAAGGAAAATAAATGAGCCAAGAATGCCCCTTAAAGGAAAAGAAGAAGCTGCCGCAGCTGCCACCTTAGCTATGCGTCCTCCATCAGCACACAGACCTGATCTGTCTTGAGCAGTGTGGTGTCATCAGTCCCTGGCTGGCTCAGGTCCTGCAGACAGCGACCAGCTCCAAGGTCGGCCACACTCGTCTCTGAGGATGAAGATGGGAGTCCATGGGCATAAATGTCTTCCTCATCACTGGATGTCACGGCCTGGTCCTGGAAAGATTTGTCCAGCCAATGCTCATGGGTGCTGGCCACCAAGGCAGAGACAAGAGGAGTCACCTGTTCAGGAGCAGGCATTTCTTTGTGATCTGTATAATCATTGGTGACTACATGCCAAGGATTTGAGCTTGGGTGGCTAGGGACGTCCACATGGGCCAGAATGTCTGGTTCTAGGCTGGCCTCCTCAGTGCTAACTTCATAAGCTCCAAGCCCAGGCAGCCACTGCTCAGCGCCTGGGGGCCAGCTGAGGCTAGAAGGTACTGTGAGGGAGTCCAGAAGAGGAGCTTCAGAAAAAGTGCTCTGGGGGTCACTGAGCTCCATGGTGTTCACCTCCTGTTTCCACAGGCATACCTGTGCATGTACACCATCAACAGCACCAGGCTCCTCTTCGGGTCCTGAGACGATGTCATCACCTCCCCCATCCTCCCCTGGCTGAAAGGGTAAATGCAACACTCCATTGAGCAGGCCCATGTCCTGTGTGTGGTCACACTGGTAAATTTTCTTTCCAGTACCATTTTCTTCATCCACTGGGTCAGAGGCAGATTCAGGAACCTCCAGAACACTGAATGCTTCAGGGCCACTGTCTTCCTGAATGATCCCATTCACCTCAGCACTGGGGTTGCTCTCCTGGTCTGGAGATCCTGTGCTCAACTGATCCACACTACTGCCCAGAGCACTTGAGGTCATGGACAAGAGGTCTGTGTTCAAGGACTGGGGGCTCTCACCAGGGAACTCAGAGCAGGGAGTTGACTCGAGGGAACTTTGGCAGGTGCTCTTGGTTCCACCTTCTAATTTAAAATGAGAAAATTCAAAATAAAGCATGAATCCATGTAAATAACCAGAGTATGGGAAAACATTTGGCTGAAGAAAGAACTATTTTAAATGAAGGCTATTCTGTAAGGCACAAATTAATCTCTATAGTCTCGGAACTTGGGAGTTAAGAGACTGGAAGCTCAAGAGTCTGAAGCCAGTCTCAGCTACATAGTAAGTTCCAGGCCAGCCTCAACGACTTACAGAGACCACAGTCCCATAAAAGGAAGAAGAAGCCGGGCAGTACTCCCAGCACTTGGGACGCAGAAGCAGGAGGATCTCTAAGCTGGAGGCCAGCCTGGTCTATAGAGCAAGTTCCAGGACAGGCTACGCTTCAAAGAGAAACCCCGTTTTGGAGGAAAAAAAAAAAGTAGAAATTATCTCATGTCAGAAATGAAGAAATGCCCAGAAGCCTCCTTAAAGAAATGCTAGGAAAGTGGGGTAGGGATGAAGCACCATGCAACATAGGCCATTTTTTTTTAATTGTCAAAATGCATAAGAGTGCCGGGCGATGGTGGCGCACACCTTTAATCCCAGCACTCGTGAGGCAGAGGCAGGTGGATCTCTGTGAGTTCGAGACCAGCCTGGTCTACAGAGCTAGTGCCAGGACAGGCTCCAAAGCCACAGAGAAACCCTGTCTTGAAAAACCAAAAAAAAAAAAAAAATGCGTAAGAGTTCAATAATGTTTTTCTTCAATAATGTGATAACCTTTAGCTAGAAGGATCAATAGGCACCAAGGAGTGAGTAGTTCAAAAAGTTCTATGTGGCCAGTCAGGGTAGTGCACACCTTCAATCCCAGCCAGAGCAAGAGGCAGCAAGATCTCTGTGAGCTCAAGGCTAGCCTGATCTATTCAGTAAGTTCTGGGACAACCAAGGCTACATAGAGAGATCCACCTTTAAAAAAAAGTTCTGAGTTAAATCAAATATTTGGTAACATGTCAACACAAAATGGAAGGTGTCCAACAAATACACCAGCATAAATCCCTGTTTCAATGACTGTGCATATGTCTGTAGGGTCTCTGGTCTAATAAATGGTATATATGGATGTGGTAGTTTGAATGCAATTGGCCTTCATAACTTCATAGGGAGTGGCACTATTAGGAGGTATGGCTTTGTTGGAGGAAGTATGCCACTGTGGGGGCGGGCTTTGAGGTTTCCTATGCTCAGGATGCTGCCCAGTGTTTCAATCTACTTCCTGTTGCCTGCAAGATATAGGACTCTTAGCTACTATATACTACTCCAGCACCACATCTGCCTGCACGCCACCATGCTCTCCATCATGATGATAATGGACTCAACCTCTGAAACTGTAATCAAGGCACACCAATTAAATGTCTTTTTTTGTATAAGAGTTGCCATGGTCATAGTGTCTCTTCACAGATATAAAAATCCCAAGACAAGTAGATATTATCTTAAACATTAAAAAGAGCAAACTTGCCAGTCGGTGGTGGCGCACGCCTTTAATTCCAGCACTCGGAAGGCAGAGGCAGGCGGATCTCTGTGAGTTCGAGGCCAGCCTGGTCTACAGAGTTGGTTCCAGGACAGGCTCCAAAGTTACAGAGAAACCCTGTCTCGAAAAACCAAAAAATAAAAAAATAAAAATAAAAAAAGAAAACTCCAGACCATTTAATCAGGGCCTGACCACATGGATAAATGCCCTACCAACACAAGTCCTACACAGATGCCTATGCGTGTATGTGTGCACTGTCACTTTGTGGGGCGAGTGCTTTCAATGTGTGAAGTCCTCTGTTCCACCAAGTGCAGCAAGCACCCCTTTAGTGAGAACTATCATTCCTTCTTGGTAGACCCCCAAAGGTCCAGGCCTAGGTGCTGCATGAGTCAGTGTGTATTTGTCCATGGACAGTACCTGTCTTTCTCTTCCTCCTCCTCTTCTTCACTTTGATGGGTTTCACAATAAGCTCCTGGTCAAAGTCTTCAGAGCTGATAACACTGAATCTCTGTGAGGATGGCTGGCCACCCTGGTCCAGCTCAGGGGGGGCCTGAAGTCCGGGCAACAGCAGTCCAGAGCCACTGTCCGTGGAGTTGAATGAACTGCTCCTGCTCCGCTGCTCACTGGCCACAGAACTGGCCACAGAAGAGCCTCGAAGCCTTGTCTCACAAACAGTGTCCCCGAGTGACTTTTCCAAATGCTGCCCACGGACCTGCTCTGAACACCGCGTCTCCAGACCATCTCTTGCTGAGAAAGAAGAGTTTAGTTTTACTGTGGTGCTTTCAGCGACATTGGTGTGCATCACTCAGTGTGCTAGCCTGGGCACCAGCAGTCACGGGACAACCAGGACTTTCTCCTGATAAAAACTGAGCAACTCCAAATACCCCAAACCCAGAGAGACTCAAGGGGCCTTTGTGCTTCAGCCAGCTCATATATTAAAATCAGTAAAATAATGAACTGCAGTTGTCTTTTGTAAACGTCACCAGTAACAGAACAGCACTAAACACAAAGCACTTCTCATTTCCATTTGACAAGTTCTTCATCAAGTTTTCTGTTTCAAGAACAGTTAAGTTAAATTTCCTATTTATACTATGCCTTCATTATACCGTAATATTTAAGAGACATTAAAAATGCATGTGTCTTATAATCAAATTCCTTGAAATTCAAGGAAGAGAAGTGAAATTCCCACTAGGATAGGTTCACCACAGAGAAGAACATAGGAGGTCAGTGTCAATGCAAGCAGAAAGCAGGGTGACATGGGTCCCTGTGATAAAGAGCCAGTAAATGTCCCCCCGCAGTGGCACCTCCCTCCCTTCAACATAGCACTACTGAGATCCCCAGGGCTAGGGCCTCGATTTTAACACTGTCAGCAAGAAACTGCTGTGCACTTCGACAAGCGCAGCCATCCTTTCACTACCAGGTATCTACTGGGTACCATGTTCTGCACAAGTGCCACGTAACAGCAGTCAAAAAGACACAGGAGCTTGGCAGTTGGTGGCACACGCCTTTAATTCCTGCAGAGGCAGGCAGATCTCAGTGAGTTCAAGGCCAGCCTGGTCTACAAGAGCTAGTTCCAGGACAGCTAGTGCTGTTACACAGAGAAACCCTGCATCAAAAACAAAACAAAACAAAAACAAACAAAAAAACCACCCAAAGCACAGGGGAAAACATCAATCCCAAACACCAGTCTGTGTCTAGGGCAAGATATGTATATACAAGTTTCATTGTTTTAAAATTACACAGATCTGTGTCTCAAGACATTAACTACACGCAGTACCTCAGACAGGAGAGTGGTTTCTGGTTTCTCTTTCCTACTCACTCAACCACACACCTTCACATTTAAAGGCAGCTTCCCCACAGAAAGACTGCCCCATATTTATCTTAGAGGACATTTCCATGACAAGCATCCTGAACGTTTGTAGGATCCTAAGGCTCCAAATACTTCAATGTTTAAGCAAACCCCAAATTATCTCTCTCTCTCTCTCTCTCTCTTTCTTTCTGTTGTTGTTGTTATTTGGTTTTGTTTTTCAATACAGGGTTTCTCTGTGTAGCCTTGGCTGTCCTGGAACTTCCTCTGAAGAGCCAGCTGGCCTCACCTACTTCTGCTTCCCTGAATGCTGGGAATAAAGGCACTCAGCTGTTTTAAACTGCATTTATCTTACCACAAGCAGGACTTGTGGTAAGGACTCAGCACACACAGCATACTTGCGGTGAATACAAACCTATGGATGCCAGTCCTTCAGGCCTGCTTGAAATCCTTATAATGTTCCTATCTCCCTTTAGGAAAAATATTTCATTTTCTGTGCAGGAAACAGACACAATATCACCCAGTCCTTCCAAACCAGCAACGGTGGCCTGTCAAAAACAAACAAATATGAAACAAGGCAATAAAAACAAAAACATAATCAAGCAGGTGTGGTAATCCAAATAACTATAATTGTTGGATTTTATTATGGCAGTTACTGGAGAACTCTTAAAAGTAATTTAATCCCTAGTTGGGTAGTAATTGATATCTGGGACGTAAGCCACATAACTCAGCACTGAGGTGCCATGCTGGGGCCACTGAGGTGCACAGTTTCTCCCACCTCTCAGACATTCTCTTCCTGGAGCTGCTGTTCTCAGCCTTCTTATGACACGAAGCTCACACTCCTTGTCAGGGCAGGAGGTCTGGACATTCTGACCTGCCTGGCATCCCACCTATGTTGTGCCAAAGCCTAGCCTGCTCCTTGTGGGCTATGCACACAGCTCAGGTTTTCTCCTGCTGAGCTTCCTTTCCTGATCACTGGGAAGCCTCAGCCTCAGCCTCAGCAAGTGCTGCTTGAGCAACGACTAAGACTCCTCAATGGTCGACAGCACAAACCTCTGCCATGCATCTCTTAGACTGGCTAGGAGTGATACACCAGCCAACAAGTGCTCCTATTGTGTGTCTTCCTATGGGAGACTTTTGAGTGAAGAAAAGAAGGAAAAAGATGCCTGCCTAAAAGCAGGTGGTACTGCAAAGGACTTTCCTGAGTCCACATGAATCTAAACCAGTTCTTGCTTTTCAGTTGACAGTATGCTTGAAAGATTAGTTCACCACAGGAAAGACTGAGCCTAGGCTAATTTTTAGGCAGCCTTGACAGAAAGCTGGAAACAAGACACTAGGTTCCCAAAGCTGCCAATCATGGTGCTTCAGGGAGGGGCAGACTCTGATAGTGGAGGCAGTGTCTGTTCAGACACAGTGTCTCCATTTCCCTGCATATGAAGTGAAGTTAATTATACCTGCGATGAGAGGCACAGGGGAAGTGCTCAGATGAAAAGAACTGATGCATAATTGCAACATGTCTTAAAGCCAATAATTAAGAAGTTCAACAGGAACCCAGGAGGAAAGTTAAGTCATCTATAATGGGAGAATCCAAATAAACAAGTGAAGGGTTAGAAGGTGAGGACCCCTTACAGCGCCAAGTTACCTCTGCACCAAGCGTCATCAAGCACGGCTGGTAGCTAGGGAGGTGTTAGTGGGGGCAAGTGATTTTGACTCTCTGCGGATGCTCTCTCTAAAGATGCTGTGCCACAAGCCCACAGAGCTCATGTGGAGGAAGAGAGCCTGGCCTGGATTCTGGAGGCGGAGTAGGGAGAGGGGCAGGCCAGAAGCTTTGATCTTAGAACAAGAAGTAACTGAAACCAAACAACTTTATTTAAAGTCCTAAATTAGATTCTAGGAGTGACCTTTTATCACCCTCATTCAGGCATAACTCGTTTTCTACCGTGAGTTAACGATCCTGCGAAGTTGCTAAGATAGGCCAGTAAGTTTATAAAAAGAAAAGGAAAAAGGCAAAATAATATAGTTGTCTTTGGATAAGAAGAAGCACAGTAAAATAAGGAAAACAAAAACAAAAACAAAAACAGCAACAGAGGACGAGCACACTGGAGGGAGGGACCCTGCTCCTGGACAGGCACCACCTGTGTGTGAGGCCTGGGAGTCAGTCCTCAGAGTTTCTGTCGTGTTTGAGCGGCACAGGAGTAATCCCAGGTACTTGGCAGGCTGAGTCAAGGCGATCAAGTTTAAGGTCTACCTGAGCTACAGGAAGGGTTCAAGACAAGCCTGGGCAGCTTAGTGAGTCCCATCTCAAAATAACAAGTAAAAAACAAAAACAAAACAGGGCTGATGATATAACTCAGTGGTAGAGCATTTGACTAGCATTCATGAGGCCCTGAGTTCAACCCCACATACTGCAAAATGTCAAACTAAAACAAAACACACAACCCAGAAGTGAGGGGTGTAGCTAAGAGGCAGAGCATGTGCTCAACATGCGCAAATACCCTGAATTCAAAAACAAAAAAAAAATGTATGCATGCATGGGAAGAGTGGGTTCCTGAGAGACTTGGCAGCAAAGGTAAAGGTGCTGACCATCAGACCAGATGACCCGAGTACAATCCCTGGGACCCGATGTGGATGGAGAGAAACAACTCCACAAGTTGTCCTCTGACCTCTGCATAAGTGCCAGGACATGCAAGTGTAATCACAAGTTTGCACACGTGTGTGCAAGCACACATATACACCATACACAAATAAATATAATTTTAAAAAACAACCTAGAAAGGTTATAATGAACATGCTTAATTTGGGGCTTTAAAGACCTCCCCCAGAAACATCTAATTTCTTGGGAGAGTAGGACTATGGATGTCAAAAAGCAAATTATTTTTCAAATCTACAAAAATTACCGAGCTCCATTTGATTTCCTTGATTGTCTCAAAGGAAAAGAAAAAACAAGCAAGCATCAGTTAATGCTGCTCCTGTCCTCTTTCCAGAAGCCCAACGGCTGAACACCTATGGACCTGCACCCTCCTCTTGCCCTGTGACCCCACAGCAGGTGCAGTTCTCCCACACACCTGGTTGACGGTGTCCAGAAGATAGATACTGTACTCATTCCAGCTCAACACCCAGCCTTCCCGGAAGAAGCACGAAACGAGCCCCAGGTGTTTCTCAGGAGAGCTGCAACTTCCCCCATCAGAGGGCTCCAGACGAGGGTAGAGCTCAAAAGGTGTGACTCCTCCAGCAAAGACATCCTTGAGGATAAACGTGGCTTGAACGGTCCCATGGACATCAGCCTTCCACAGCCGGAGCCCAGGCCGGGCTGCATACAGGGTTAGGTCACTTTGCTTACACAGTCCTGGTATAAAACAAGCACCAAATTTCCCAGTACTAAAATCGGAAGAAAAAAATGAAAGAAAGAAAACAAAAACAAAAAACAGGCATGGACTGACTTGAAGAGATAATTGTCAGCTCCTAATATCAGCTCTAAGAATCTGCAGACTAACACAAATCATTGTTCTGTCTACTGTGTGTCGGTCACTAAGTCGCCTGGCACCCTGTGCGACCCAGGCCCCACCACGCCTTCACAAGTACACAGCACCCAGAGCTGTATAGCCTAGGTTCTGAGGACGATCAATGGTTCCCACTGCAGCTTGCCTGTGTCCCACACTTCCGTCCACTCTCCCTTTAATCCTTGCTGCAATTTCATGAGGCAACTGATATAATCTGTTACAGAACAGAATGTGATGAATGTAGGTCCGTCCCTGCTAACCCTGCTCTGGAGTCTGAGCCTGTGGTCTGCCTTGCTTCTTGAATGAAAAGCTTGACATCTAGAGTAGCTCATCCATATCTCTTTCAAAGTTTCCCCAAAGCCATCAAGTGTACCAGTTTCTCTTCCCATTCTCAAGCTTGGTATTCCTATAAAACTATGACATACCCAACCCACACAGAAGAGTATATGCGGGAGCTGGAGAGATGGCCCAGTGGTAAAGTACTGTTGCTTTTGTGGAGGACCCCGATTTGGTTCCCAGCACCCACACGGGGGCTCACAATGAGCTGTAACTCTAGTTCCAGGGGATCTGATGCCCATTTCTGACCTACTCAGGTACCAGGCATTCATGTGCTGCATATACATATATGCAGGCACAACACTCATATACATAAAATAATTTTTTTGGTGTTTTGAAACAGGGTTTCTATGTATAACAGCCCTGGCTGTTCTGAAACTTGATCTGTAGACCAGACTGGCTTCAAACTCACAGAACTCTACCTGCCTCTGCCTCCCAAATACTGGAATTAAAGGTGTTCAAAACCACACATAGCAATAAGTATTTTTAAAAAATTGCTGGGCAGGGGGCTGGAGAGATGGCTCAGTGGTTAAGAGCATTGCCTGCTCTTCCAAAGGTCCTGAGTTCAATTCCCAGCAACCACATGGTGGCTCACAACCATCTGTAATGAGGTCTGGTGCCCTCTTCTGGCCTTCAGCATACACACAGATAGACTATTGTATACATAATAAATAATAAATAAATATTTAAAAAAAAATTGCTGGGCAGTAGTGGCACACTTCTTTAATCCCAGCACTCAAAAGGCAGAGGCAGGCAGATCTTTGTGTTCAAGGACAATCTAGTATACAAAACAAGTTCCAGGACAGTCAGAGCTACATAGAGAAACCCAGTTTTGAAAAACCAAAAAACAAAAAAGAGTGTTTGCAATAAATGTAACGTGCACCAGGGACCCATCCTCTACCACTAGAACGAGTCAACAGGTGCATCATGCATGCACTTCGGGTTCCTAATAATTTGTCCTGGCCAAAATTCAGACCAATGGACTAAATTTTGTGTGTATCACTCATATTTAGCTGTGAGCCTAGCCTTTAACGGCTGAGCTCTCGCTCTCATTTTTATTGATATGTCGTTAAGCACATATTTATTTACCCCAACACCAATTTAGCACTTTCATTTTAATGAATGATGCCATCTGTATAATTTTATAGCTTGATTTTTAAAATATTTTTAATTTAGGGGATTTTTTTTCTTTTCTTTTTTCTTTCTCTCTCTCTTTTTTGCCTCAAACTCAGAGATCTGCCTGCCTCTGCCTCTGCCTCCTGAGTGCAGGGATCAAAGGAGTGCACCACCACCGCCCGGTCTCAGATTTATTTATGATGTACAGCTGCCTGCATGTATTCCTGCATGGCAGAAGAGGGCACCAGATCTCATTACAGATGGTTGCAAGTCATCATGTGGTTACTGGGAAGTGAACTCGGGTCCTCTGGAAAAGCAGCCAATGTTTGTAACCCTGAGACATCTCTCTAGTCCCCGGCATATTTTTTTTAATTGTGTGCTTTTGCATGTGTTTGCATACACATGAGAGCAAGTGCCAGTGGAGGCCAGAAGATGGCCTCAGTAAGAACAGTTATGTGCTCTTCACTGTTGAAGGACCTCTTGGCTCTACACATACATAAATACATAGAGTGCACATACACACCCCACTACTCGATAATTTTAAGTAACTTGTCTTTAATACTTACCATTGTTTCTAAGATTTAATCTTTGATTTAAAAAAGGAAATGACAGTGCTTATTAATTTTGACTGCCGAATAGTTTTTTTCGCAATTTATTCAATTTTTTAAAATTATCCCTTTTTGAGATAAGATCTCATTGTATATCTCAGAGTGACCTCAAACTCAAAATTCTACTGTCTTACTTTTTGATTCTACCACTACACCTGACTTTATATTATTTTTAAAAAGTACATAAATATTACTACCAAATGTTTCCTTGGGATACTGGAATATGCATGGGTTTGAGAAAGAATGCATATCTATAAATCTAATACTTATTTAGTTTTTATAGTACTGCGAATTGAACCATGGGCCTTGAACATGGTAGGTAAGCACTCTACTACTGAGTTACATGTGAAGCATTTTTTAAAAATAATTTATTCTGGGGCTAGAGAGATGTTTCAGTGGTTAAGAACACTTGCTGTTCTCATAGTGGACCTGAATTCAATGCCTAGCACCCACACCAAGGCAGCTTACAAACTATAACCAGGGGAACAATGCCCTCTTTGGCCTCCTCAGATATCTGTACTCACATTAACACACACGCCTAACTAAAAACAACTAAATAAAACTTTCTCTCTCTCTCTTTGCCGCCTAGACAGGCTTTCTCTGTGTAACAGCCCTGCTGTCCTGAAACTCACAGAGGCCAGGATTAAAGATGTGTACTATTATGCCCAACTCTAAATAAAATCTTTAAAACTAATTTATTCAATCTTATTACTGGATTGTTGCTGTTGTTAATTTGTTGGTTTTGAAACAGGATCTCAAAAAGCCAATACTAGCATGGAACTTGCTAGTCTATAATGATTGCTATATAACCCAGGATGACCTTGAACTTCTGACCCTCTTGTCTCAACTTCCCAAGAACTGGGACTACAGGTGTGTACCACTGAGCCCACCTAAGACATTTTGTTCCTTTTCTTTCACACGTGGCTGGAGATTGAACTCAGGGCCTCATCCATGCTAGGCAAGTACTCTGACACTGTGTTACCCATCTGGTATTTGAATTATTATGATTTTTATATCTTTATCAATACTCAGGTTTCTACCAGAGTTCAAATTGAAGAGCTTGAGCTCAACTCTAAGCCTTGCTGATTCTTTTTCTAAACAGTTCTTTCTTGAATGTAGACAACAGAAAGGGCATTGGCTTGAGTGTACAGTTGTTGACCTTTTGAGATCTCCCTGTGCTAATCTGTAGGAAGCATAACATCCATACACAGGAACAAGTGGAGACTGAATGAAAAAGCTACAGTACAGCTCAAAACCAAGCCTGCGACATTCTCAGCCTCCTGCCTGAGAAGCCACCTTGTCCCATCCATTCACAGCCCATCTCCTTTCACTCCCCATCACCCCTAGGGGGATAGTTTTATCTGGGGGTGGAGAATCTCCTCTGCTGTCTCCCTAGGCACCACTGGAAGTTTAGTAATTAAATCCCCGTGGAAAGGATCCAGGGAGGATATCATATGTCAGATGCAGCTTAGAACAAAGATCATTAGACTAATCAACTGTTTTGAGTCCACAGAGTTTTTATAGACAACTATGTAATAGGACTGTGTCTGATTCTTGCCTTTAGTGAGTTTGTTCTGGTGAGGCCCCCTAAACAAAAAAGCCCAAAGGAATACTAGTTAGGCAACCCAGTGCTGCTTCTTCTTACCTGTCAAATCATCTATTTGGGGATCCAATTTTTAAGTCTGTTTTCTTTCTATTTATGGGACCTCTTTACTCTCTTGTCACTTCTGTTTTGTTCACTGTATGTAATCAGAGCATGTGTTTTAACATGTACTCAGTGAGCAGAAACCTTCTACAAAACTGTGATGCTAGAGGGTATGTGTGTGAGCGATGAAGATGAGCTCTTCACCAGGGCTCACCCCACAGGACAGCAGGCATTTGTAGGGAAGTGGGCATCATGAAGAGGGGTCCTACAGAGAGCTGGCTTTGAGGATGTCTGTGTGTTCAGGGGGGTCTGTGAGGGAGCTGACAGAAGGTATTTAGCTGGAAAGGACCAGCTGCCAAGATATCCTACCATACCATACTTATGACAGGCACAGAAAGTTTCCAAGTACAAGATAAGGAAGCCAGGCCTTTCTTTACAGTCCTCAATTCTTCCAATGAGCTAGGACTTGGCATCAAGCAGAAGGGGATATCCACAGAGATAAAGTCAGAACTCAGTTCTGCAGAACCAGGCTGCATAATCTCAGGTTTCCAGGGCCAACAGGAAGATCGCTATTATAAAGAGGCCAGACTATTGATGGCATTAAGAAGGTATTGAGAAAAGAACACAGGAGCCAAAGAGTGGGTGTGAGAGAATCTTCCAACAGGAAGACTGCCAAGCAGAGAAGAGAATAAACCTAGTGTTGCCACAAAACAGAAGGCACATGACAGATCATGGCTGCACCAGACTGTCTGACCTCACTCTCCACTCCCTTCACGCTTGTCACCAATGGCACCACCAGCCCCGGGGAGGCCCTCCCAATGCCTGCCAGTTTCCTTACTCTCCAGTCTGTCTCAAATCCTCTTGACATTCTCCAGTCCACTGCCATCCCATCCCAAACCGAAGCAGGAAACAATATCCCTTTACTGAAAGGAGGGTACAAGATGGGAACCCTCCAACTCCCAAAACTACTTAACAGCAACCTCCCAACACACACTTGGCTCCTTCCTGGACCTCCTTCCCAGGTAAGGTCCTTCACCTCCTTACCCTATACCTCCACACAAAGTGGCTACATAGGGCTATGAGATCTTGTCTTTGCCTTCCTTTCAGGACAGTGATATGAAGGATGCATATGCTCCTTCTGCGGGCAGTCCTAGGTCCTCAGCCTTCTCTTTGTTGTCCTTCCTCTGGCAGTTATCAAAGGACAGATACACTCTTTCAGCCCAGAACCATCCCCTTCTTAGCCTCTCCTACGTGGCATGTAGTCCTCACACCTGCAGAAACTTTTCTCTGACCCCAGGATGAGTGGAAGCCTGCTTAAATTTCTTTGCTCTGTTTTTCGAGACAAGGTTTCTCTTGCATAGTCCTGACTGTTCTAGAACTTATTCTGTAGACCAGACTGGCCTCAAAAACTCAAAGATCTGCCTCCCAAGAGCTGGGATTAAAGACACGTACCACTGCCACTCTGCCCCAGCTTAAATTTCTATATTACTCTGAACTGTACTCCATAGCCATTGGCAAGACCATCAGTTAGTCATGGGCCTGTCTTTTGGTCTCCATGATGGGAGAGGCCCACATCTGCTAGGCTACCCAGTCTCATCTGCCCAACCTGCTAGTGTGCACAAGAGAAGGCTACAGAGAGAAACCACACCTGGAGCGGACACACAACACTGTCTCCTAGGCTCCTCAGACTCAGTCCTGGATTGCAGTGGCTATGCTCCCAGGCCCCTGAATCTCCTCCTCAACTAGAAGATTCCCTGTTCCCATCAGGCTCCATGAAGCACTTTTGGCAGGCACAAGCTACCAGGAACCCCAGATGGTGTGTCTGTGGTCTCACATCTGGCTACCAGGAAACCTAGGAGAACTTAAGGGCCAGTACTGAGAACCACATGGATATGCCTGAAGCTTACCTCTTCCTTGGCTGGGATCCAATCTGCTTGACAGCCTTTTCCTCAGTGTAAAAGAGCAGGCTCCTCTGCAAGGTGGACACGAGCAGCACTTTCTGGCTGTAATCCAGCTGCACAATGGAAGATGGCTCCTCCAACACAAGGTGTGAGTTGCAGATACCCTGCAAGAGAGCCAGGCCACAGTGGGTCAAAACTGCCCAGCCTCCCTCACAGTGCTTATGCAGATACGTCTTGCTAACTGTATTGAACTCAAAAGTATTCTATAGTGTTGAGCATGGTGTGCATAGCTATAATCTCCGCACTTGGGAGACTGAGGCAAGAAGATCAAGAGTTCAAAGTCATTCTTGACCATATGGTGAGTCTGAAGTAAGCCTGGGCTACATGAGACCCTATCTCAACAAAACAAAACAAAACAAAACAAAACAAAACAAAACAAAAAACAACAAAAAGTATATTTCTTCCTCTCTTCCCCCCAGTGTCCTTCTCTGGGCTCCATCGGCAAACAACTCACAAAGAAGAGAGGGGAGGATGAGCCACAAGTCGGTGTAGAAGGGTCTTTTGTCTATGTGTTACTTTTATTGGTTAAATAAAGAAGCTGCCTTGGCCTTTTGATAAGCCAGCCCTTAGGTGGGTGGAGTAGACAGAACAGAATGCTGGGAGGAAGAAGGCAGTGTGGCAGACACCATGGCTCTCCTCTCCGAGACAGGCACTGGTTAGGCTTATGCAGGTAAGCCACAGTCAAGTGGCAATACAGTTTATTAGAAATGGGTTAGATCAATATGTGAGAGTTAGCCAATAAGGGGCTGGAGATAATGGGCCAGGCAGCAATTTAATAATACAGATCTCTGTGTGATTATTTCGGGCATAAGCTAGCCAGGTGGCCAGGAGTTGGGCAGCAGGAAGCGGCCTGCTGCTCTACAATACAACAGAGTGGTGCCCAACATGGGGCTTGAACCCATGATCCTGGGATTAAGAGTCTCATGCTCTACAGACTGAACACTTGATAACCTTGACAAGAGATGTTCCCACAGAGCAGCTGTTCTATGTGGGGTCTGCATAACCCTAGGTCCCTAAGACTAAGACTCTCTCATAGCATATGCCAGGCCAAAAACATTTCACAGAATACTGAGATGTTGTTATATGTCTTTTATCTTAAATTTTTTTAAAAATTTTATGTATATGGGTGTTTTTCCTGATGTATGTCTGTAAATCATATATGTACATGATAGCTACAGAGGCCTGAAGAGGGTGTCAGATCCCCTGGAACTAGAGTTACAAATGGTTATGAGCTACCATGTGACTGCTGGGAATTGAACCTAGGTCTTTTGGTAAAGCAGCCTGTGCTCCTAACCTCTGAGTCACTGATTAACCAGTCTGCCTCCATCTTAGGCTTAAAGTCATCTAATAGTAAAGATAAACTAGGTTCATTCACGTTTATGATTAAATCTGTTTCTCAAGGATTGGGCTATGTCTCACCTGCAACCTTAACTACAAATGGTTCCTTCCATACTGCCTGTTCCAGGAATGGTAACCATGCCTTTGAACCTTGTTATGCGGCTCCTGTAACTCTGCCTATTTGTGTGCCAAATTGCCCATTTGGAAACCCCCTACCTTGGTGCTATAAAAAGCCTTATCTTGCCCATGTTCAACACTGATCTCTTGAACCCCACCTTTAGAGGGAGACAGCCTATGTACACAAATTAAAAACACTTGCTTTAGTTAATTTGGCCACGATGATTTGGGTTGATGGTCTTTCTCCTCGCATCTTTGGTACTAACACCATCCCTCCATTTGCATGCCCTTTCCATCACTACTGTCACTTTGCTAAATAGATGTGACATGCCCAACAAAATGCCCTCCAAGTGCTTTCACTGAAAGCACAGGAAATACTGTGTATGGAGCCACTTGGAACCTCATTATGAACCAGGACCATTGCACCAAACTACAAAGGTCACCATTCACCACCACTCACACTAAAAATATGAGTTCCAATGAAGAACATCTTGATAAAGAAAAATGGTAATTTCACCCCTAAGGAATGGTGCTTTTGCACTGGATATCAACAAATTGGATGTGCACACACAGACCTTCTGAAAAATGATGCACAAGCCCGGTGGTGGTGGCGCACGCCTTTAATCCCAGCACTTGTGAGGCAGAGGCAGGCGGATCTCTATGAGTTCGAGACCAGCCTGGTCTACAAGAGCTAGTTCCAGGACAGGCTCCAAAACCACAGAGAAACCCTGTCTCGAAAAACAAAACAAAACAACAAAAAAAAAAGATGCACAATGGGTTTCAAGGAAAAAAACAAAAACGACAAACCTGTAGCTGGTGGTAGCACATCATGCCTTTAGTCCAAGCACTCAGGAGACAAAGGCAGAGAGGACTCTGAGTTCGAGGCCAGCCTGATCTAAGAGAAAGTTCCACAACAGCCAAGACTACACAGAGAAACCTTGTTTTTAAAAACCAAAATAAATAAATAGAGAGAAAGAAAAGAAAAGAAGGAGGGAGGGAGGGAAGGAAGGAAGAGAGGGAGGGAGGGAGGGGACAAATCTCTGCCATGGGAGGAGTGTAATTCAAATGAGATACTGTTTTCACACACCATTTTTACTTGAAACACTGTAATTACAGGGAATGATGAGGTATTGGCAGACATTATCTATGTAAACCCCTGTTGGTTCAGTATTTGTTATCTTTAACTGAAGATGAGAATCTAGAAAACTTGTATCTATATAAATTAGACGAGATTCTAAAAGCTGAAGAATTTTTTGACTAGAATGATGGAGATATTAATAATGGCACTTTTCTTTCTTTTTAAAAACTATTTATTTACTTATTTTATGAAATATAGGTGCTTAGTCTGCACAAACACCTATGCACTAAGTGTATGCTTGGTGCCCCAACAGCCCAGAAGAAGGTGTCATATTACACAGAACTAGAGTTGGACAGTTGTGAGCCATTGTGTGGTGCTGGAAACTGAACCCAGGTCCTCTGGAAGAGCACCCAGTGCTGCTCTCAACTGCTGAGTCATTTCACCAGCCCCCGCCTTCTGATATTATATAATACATGTGTCAACATCTGGAAGATCGGCACCCTCTGAGATTCCTATTCTACTAAGTGACTGGTACTTGATACTGAAAATTATGCAAGGGTAAAAGATCTACTCAAAGTAGAAGATAAACTAACAAGTTTTAATGTAACAAGGTAGGAAAAACCCACCAAGGGTTTCAGATTCCACACTGCAATCAGTTTTTAAAGAAACCCCCACGTGAGGCCACAGTGTAGGCTCCTCTCTATGAGTGCTCTGTGAAGCGGTCTTCAGAGGCCTTAGAAACAATATATGATACTGCCATTACTTTTTATTTTATGTGTATGAGTGCTTTGCCTGGATGCAGGTCTATGTACCACTTGGGTGCCTAGTTCCCAGAGGCCAGAGAGGGTGTTAGATCCCCTGGGACTGAGTTACGGACACCTGTGAACTACCACTGTGAGTGCTGGGAATAGAACCCAGCTCCTCTGGTAGAGCACCCAGCACTCTTAATCTCTAAGATGTCTGTGGTGGTTTGAATAAGAATAGCCCACACAGGCTCATCATATAGGTGTGGCATTGCTGGAGGAAATGTGTCACTGCAGTGGGCTTTAAGGTTTCAAAAACTCATGTCAAGCTCAGTCTTCCTCCCTCCCTCTTCCTACTACCTACAGATTAGGGTAGAAAGCTGTCAGCTACTGCACCAGTGCCATGCCCGTCTGTTTCCCACCATCATGATAATGGACTCACCTCTGAAACTATAAGCAAGCCCCCAACTAAATGCTTTCTTTTATAAGAGTTGCCTGAGCAACAGAACACTGATTAAGACATCATCTCTCCAACCCTACCAGTGCTTTTGGCTGTCCACTAAAACTAGATGATAGTCCCTATTGCTGAAGACACTACATGCTTAGGTTGCCAGGCATAAAGAAATCAAGAACTGAGCTGGAAGCTTACTCCTTGCCACCTAGTTTTCAGAGTGCCAAAAGGTGGTGCAATCCAGGTTTCAAGAGAAAAAAGTCATCAGCCCTACCCAATTTTGGGCCTTGTGTACCATACTACCTACCTGTCAGGCATGGTATGCACTAGTGCAACAGTGGTGTGATTATTACAGGGGTAACCAACCAGTTTCTGCTTAGGTCTAAGCCCCACAATACAGGAAGGAATTCATGCCTGCTATTCTAAATCTGGTCAAAAGCCCATAGCTGGAAAGGTCATAGGCACTGGCAGGGAAGCTATTATTGTACTTTTGCTAAATGGACATGTCATACCCATAAAACTACCTTTTTCCCCCTGGTTTTTTGAGACATGGTTTCTCTGTAGCTTTGGGGCCTGTCCTGGAACTAACTCTTGTAGACCAGGCTGGCCTCGAACTCACAGAGATCTGCCTGCCTCTGCCTCCCAAGTGCTGGGATTAAAGGCATACGTCACTACCGCTGGGTCAAACTACCTTGTAAATATTTGTGTTTATGCCCTTAGATTAGCGCTTCTCTTAGTGTTAGTCAAAGAAGCCCCCCCCCAGTGGGTAGAAGTTAACTGCAAAAATTCAAAATTGGTCAAAGTGCTGAGAATACATGACTATTGAATGCCAAGCCCTAAATAGGACATCTATATTATCCCCTTCAAGGTTCAAGGAACATCTCAGAAGATGGGGACAGAAAGGATATAGGCACCTCAAGATAGGGAAGAGTATTGTGAAATGTTATTTTCTGGGCATAATACAGTCATGAACTCATAGTAGTTACAACTATCTACACAAGACCAGTGTAAGACTGGGTTCATCAACCTTACAAAATGGACAGGGGAGGGAATCACAAGACCCTACCTCCCCATAAGGAACTACTGGCAGTCAATGATTGCTTGGGGAGAGAGAGATTTTCTTCAGTGGTGTAGTCACTAGTACATTGTTCATGCTATTGTAACCTCTGATATTCATGTTTATGTAAGCAGCCCTAATTAAACTCATTAGGTCACATACAAGAAAAAAAAAGAGTGAGTAAGGGGGGTGAGAGGGAGGGAAGGGAAGGGAGGGGAGGGGAGGGGAGGGGAGGGAAGGGAAGGGAAGGGAAGGGAAGGGAAGGGAAGGGAAGGGAAGGAAAATTCCATGTAATTTTTTGTTTGTTTTGGTTTTTTTCAAGCAAGATTTCTCTGTATAGCCTGGCTATCCTGGATCTAGCTCTGTATACTAGGCTGGCCTCAAACTCACAGAATATCTGCTTGCCTCTACCTCCTGGGTACTAGGATTAAAGGCACGCACCACCATTGCCCAGCCTGAGCTTTAATTTCCAACAGGGTATATTTTATAGATATAATCCATACAAAACAAAAACTTTTGGGGTTATCTTTTCTAAGAGCACAAAAGGTCTGAGGTCAGAAAGCTTAGAAACTACTACTAGGGAGTATTTGTCTTAAATTAGAGGGCTAATAAAACAGTCAGTTCTGCTAAGCATAGTGGGTATCTCAAAACATAACAAAAAACAAATAAACAAATTCCACTAAGTTCTTAGAATCTAACATAGGGAATGAAGAGGAAAAACGGGTAGTCCATCAAATGTTTAGTCCATCTGGCAGGCACATGGCCAAACAAAAAATGGGCATCATAAAGCCTGACCTGCAGTAGGAAAGCCACGGGCTTTGGAGCAGAACCTATTTGAAATGAGTCTGCTAGGTCTGTGCTTGTGCCCCTGGATTGAATCCTGGAAATAAGAACATACTGAGAGGCTGCCAAGATGGCCCAGTGGGTAAAGGTGCTTTGCTGTCTAGTCTGATGACCTGAGTTTGATCCCTAGGACCCATACGGTGGAAGGAGAGATGACCCCTGCAAGTTGTGCTTTGACTTCCACACAAACACTGTGGAAAGTGTGTAAGGTCACAAGCCCCACACATAAAATAAATAAAAGTGAAAAAAAAAGTTTAAATGATAGACAGCCCAGGTGCTATGATGGGGCATCTAAAGGGACATGTGATGGAGGTAGAACATGACGCTACTGGTCTTCTGTGTTGGCTGGAGGTAAGTTCTCTGTTCACTGGTCACTACCTCCGTCCACAGACATGACTAGAAACTTGTACAACTTGTTCCTTTATTCATTTGGAGAAACTTTTACTATTCAACTCTAGCTGGCTTGGCATTTCCTATGCAGCCCAGGCTGGCCTTAACCTCAAGAAGACCCTCCTACTTCAGCTCTCAGGTGCTGAAATTATAGAGCATCACGTCTGACTCAAGTACGTACAATTTTTACTGTTGGTTTTGCAGGCCACCTCATTAGTCACTGTAGAAGTTTATAAAACACTGACGATGTCCGAGAGAACACTCTGTAAGTAACACTTGGTAGTGTAAGGTACAGTGGTGGAGAACACGAGCCACTGGAAAGGAAGCAAGACTGCAATATGCTACAGATCTCTGAAAATCACCTCACCTGGTCTAGATCGAGAGAGGAGTAGACGATCTTCCCTTTGTCATCTCCGGAGAACAGTTTCATCCCATTGGGGCTCCAAGCCAGAGCTGTAATGCTGGTTTTGTGAACACCAGTGACATCAAATCTCCGAAGCTATAGGTGACAACAGAGCACAAGGGAAGGAGAGGTGAGTGACTGCAGTTATGGGAATGTCACTCCTCCTTTGGGAGGAGCTGGTTTTCCACACACAACTGTGCACAAGATTCCCTATGTCTACCCGTATCCTAAACTGAGATGGGCCAACAAGATGGCTCATTGGATAACAGTAATTGTGGCCAAGCCTGGGGATGTGAGTTTGACTTCTGGAACTCATGTGGTAGAAAAAGAGATCTGACTCCTCCAAGATGTTCTATGACCTCTATACATGAACTGTAGCACGTTGTGTATGTGCGCACACACACACCTACACACACATATACACACAAATACAATTTTTTAAAAAACTTCACAAAGAGCACACAAGGAAATAAGTAAAAAGAAGAGCACTGATTTGTGCTTTATGATCAATACCCCATGCAGGGACAAAGACATCACCTAGTTATAAGCAGCACAATGTCATGCTGAATCACGTGATTATCACCACACCTTTCTGACTTTGTAGACCAGGTGGTCTCTCAGAGGGCCCCACCTGTCTCTGCTCTGGGAGTGAGAGGATCAAAGGTGTGCCCACCACACCCAACTCTCAGGATTTCTCCTTAATCTTAAAGATGCATGAGGACCCTGCCAAGAAGGGAAGCAGTGCTAGAACCTGAGCACTCACCTGCTTGTTCCTCCCTGGCAAGGAAGACACGAGCTGGAAAACAGCAACCCTCCCAGAGGCAGTGCCTGCTGCCACAAGGTCATCAAAGCAGCTCAGCAGCTTCACCACAGTGATAGACTCTGTCTTTCCCTGAAGGAGGACATGCCAAAAACAAATCACCAGAGGCACTTAGATGAAAAAAAGAAAACTAGATGTAAAGCCGGAAACATGAAGCTAGATCCCTGGGCTGCAGCATATAAATTCCTGGCTGGAAATGTGTACAAGTCAGAAAACAAATGAGTCTAGAATCTCTGCCTTACTGTTATTACTGTTACTATTAATAGAACCCCAAATTATGGATTTTGCATACATTTTGGTACAGTATATCCATAATGCATAGTCATCATCCATTTCCAGAATTGTTTTTATGTTGAGAAGTGGGAACTTTACACCTACTAAATAATAAGCCCCACTAGGTGGTGGTGGAGCACGCTTTTAATTCCAGCACTAGGGAGGTAAGAGACCAGCAGATCTCCGAGTTCAAGGCCAAGCTGGAATAAGGAGAGAGTTCTAGGGCGGTCAGGGCTATGCAGGGCTATGAAAAACCAAAGCAAGCACGCAAACAACAACAAAACCCACAAAACTGTTGCAAGAGTTCTATTTGGTCTTAATAATAAAAACCCAGAGCCAGATTATTGGAGTAAATGCAGAAAGGTAAAGGACAAAGGAGCAAGAAACAGCCACCTCTTATTTTGCTAACTCCTTAGTTGAAAAAGGGCTGAATTCCTGCCTCCTCCCACCTTATATTCCTTTTTCTGCCCAGCCATATCACTTCCTGTCTGTCTGTACAGACCTCCAGACCTCTATGGTTAACTAGTGGCTAGCTCTGCCTGCTGATCTTCAGGCAAGCATTTGTCCTCTTTTTTGCCTAAAATAAAAAAGCTTATAACTAATATAAGAAAAACTATATATAACAAGTAAAATAACTATATACAATATATAGGCAATAAGTATAATAAGTCTAGTCCATTAGCAAATGATAAATTCATAGAAAATACTCCATATCTATCCTATCTTGATGAGTTCAAAAGGTTGTACCTAATTCACTTTCTGTTCTAATTTGCAATACCCAAACTATCTTTTAATGTTTCTCAACCTTTACATACTTTACACCTCTTTAGTGAATTTTAGTTCTGAATCCAGTAAAAAAAGAAAACTATAACTTTAAAGTCTTCAAATCCATCTGACCTGAGAAGAAAATAATATTACCAGAGTAAGCAGGTAATATTTTCTCTCCAAAAAAATGTGAGAAATGACAAACAGCTGGCTGCCTGGATAGTCACCCAAGGTTCCTCTGCAACATTGGAGCATCCATCCTCAGCCTACAGGCCTAGCATATCTGACAGACTTTTTTGTTAAGCAGAATATAGTTGAGGGCTTGTCTTGGCAAAGTTTGGCAATCACTTTCTTTTGTGCCCTGCTTGTCCAATTTGGACAGCACACTGTCAGCAGTCAAGGCAAGAGCACTTTCTTGCCCAATGGCTTACTTTTGCCACAAAGAAAGTAAACTTCATATGGAGTTTCTTTGATGCCCATCATCCTCTCTGAAGTAGATTCGTGCTGTGAGGCGTAGACATGTCTCATTGTCATATATAAAAAAGAAACATGTTATTAAAACATCTTAAATGCCATAATCTGCAGATCTCTGAAGTGTTTGAAGACAACCTGTCTATCTAAAATATATCTCTGTTTTATTTTGAAAACATACCTAATATGATACAAGTTTGATTGTAATGACTAACTACTAACTTGCATTTCTTTATACCCTAATTAGTTGGTAATGATAACTTTCAAGGACTAGAAATTTATATTATATTGCTAAGTGAGTTATATAGTTACAATACCTTGAAAAAGATTAGAAATGTATACACAGTATGTTCTAACAAAAATAATCTTAAATTTGTATCAGTTTACAAAAATTCATATCAATGCAAAATATTTAAAACTAATAGTTGTTTTTTGGTTTAAATGTAGATTCAATAATCTACCTTTTTATGATATTTCTGTATCTCCTCCTTTTTCTTTTCAGAGTAGACTCAATCATCTACCTATCCATCCTATCATATCTATATCCCCTGTTTTTCTTTTCAAAATAAGAACCCTGGATCTAAACTCCTTTGTTTAGCATTTTTCCTGACCGTTACCAATAACAACTTTTAACCAATCCCCCTAAACAATAACAAATTCCATAACCAAATGAAAGACCAAAACCACCCACCCATTCCCATCTCTTGAGACTGTGGGTGTCATGTTATCAAATTTACTTCCACTGTCTGGGGGCAATGGCATCTTTAGGGGATCCTAAAAAGAAAAATCTGGGTTAATTGTCAAGTCCTGGGAGAGGAAGCTCTATCATTGGTTATCAAATCTCTCTGTAATGGGAAAGTGTAGGGCTTGTCTCAAGTCCTGGGTAGAGTAGTTTGTTAGGTTAGATCACTAGCCACATAGAAACTGTCCTGAGCAGTTTGTAGTCCAAAGCCAATCGTTAGGTGGTGTTTTCAGCTTAGTGGTGTTTGCCTAGGACTGATGGAATCGTCATTGTGGGGCCCCATGCTCCTTTTGGAAACTTCAAAAGTCGCTATTAGGCGTGATATTGGCGAACTACAGAAAACTTAAATATTTTAGATGAGACATGCAGCAGATCTCAAAGAGGTTAAAGGATCATAGTTCATTATGTACATACATCCAGAGTACAAAAACTTAATTTCTAGTTATCATGTACAGGAAACTAGATGAGGCCTTTTTCTAGAATTAATTAGTACTCTATAAAACCATTAATATCATGACAAAATTTTAAAATATATATATATATGT